GAAAAAAAACAAATAAATCCTAAACATTATAATTCAGATGATTTAATAATTCAAACACGCAAATAGAAACTTAAAAGCAAAAATGATGAATGAGGAAGAATAAAGAAGCTAGGGAGTCGGGGATATCTGCATGGTTCAAAATGCAATTATCGGGTAAGTGATTGTTCGGTTAAGTGATTCCAAAAATCTACTCGTTTAGAGATTCATCCTCAATTACTCTTCGTAACAAGAGAAAAAATGTGAACGGTAAATTAACAAGTCATTTAACACATAGACAATACAGTTACGAACAAGCCTATTTCATACGAGCCTATTTCGACCGACTCCTCCCCTTTCGATTCTAAGAGACGATTTGATTAGACTAGATGGTGTTTAATTGACTAATCTATTAGAATGATCAACATCACACGAGAGTGAATCAAATTCAATTGAAAATCAATTGGAGATTGAAGTGTCCCTTCAACAATTTTCAAGATTCAAGCCAAATAATTGAAAACCCTATTTAAGAACAACTCGCATAAACTGAACGATCAATGAACACGACAATCACAAACGAATCCAAAACTTTAATCCCCTATCCCTAGCAATCGGATTTAGCCACTCATATTCAATTCAACACAAACAATCTAAACAATCGAAGAAATCATATCCATGGAGCTGATAAAGATCCCAATGTTGAATCCAATAAACTAGCTAAAATCCAAGAGCAAGGAAGAAATCCAAAGTGCAATCCACGATCAATTCAATGTTTTTAGGTGAAAACGATGAAAGACAAAAATGAAAAATGAGAGAGCGATGGCTAGGTTTTTCTATTCTCGAAATGAGAGATATCCCTCGTCGAAACCCCGTGCGTATATATATAAGTGACAGGGTGTGCCGCCATGAGAGAAGGCGCGCGGCGTGGAGGGCATAGATGTCGCGGCGCGGTAGTTGTGGCGTGGCGCGAGGCAGAGTAATGCCGTGGTGAAAGGATGCTCCGCGGCGTGACGTGCTGCTGGTGCTGCGTTCTGTGTCTACCCATGGCGTGCATCGCGCGTTGGGCCGCGGCGTGGAGTGGAGCACGACGTGGCGTGGAGCAGGTCTTCACGGCGTGTAGGTCTCCGCGGGCGTGGCGTTGGGAAGGGACGAGGCTCTGTCTGTGTCGTGGCGTGGGTCGCGGAGCGGCACGTGTGTGGGGGCCTGACTGCCGTGGCACGAGGCTCGGCAAGATGCGGGCCTGGACGAGCTGGTGGGGCAACATCTTTGACTTTGCGTCTCGAGCCATTTGAACTTGTTTGGACTCGAAATTTGATTCTGTTTTTTCCCGTGTGACGCCAACGCATCCCTCTACAAAATTCAGCTCTCCCAAAATATTTCTCCTTCAAATTATAATCTTCCGAGGCACCTGACCTGCACACCATAAAAGACGAGAAAAACGCAAAAAATCGAGAAACAACCGAAAAACACAAAAAAGCTCAAAATAAAGAAAAACACGCAATAAACTACAAAAATGAACTAAAAACCAACGAAAGGACCTAATATGGGGGAAAAATAAAGACAATGAAAAACGCAACAAAAATAGGACAAACAACATCGACGATGACAATTTGGATGCCGACTATGACGACGACGTGCCTCTCCGTTTCCGCAGCATCGACGACATCATCGAACCAACCTTTCCAGGAGGCTTCGCACCGCGCGCATTGGTGTTGGAGGAGCTGGACGTGGTGAGTGCCGGCGAGTTTGCCTCATTCGCCGAGGTAGAGTGCATTCCCAGTTGAAGGAAGGCGATGATGGAGGAGATGGAGTCCATTGAAGATAACGGTACATGGTGCCTCGCCGATCTCCCACCAGACCGCAAGGCTATCAGGGTAAAGTAGGTATTCAAGGTGAAGAGGGACAAGTACGGGGCGGTGACCAAGCATAAAGCGCGCCTCGTGGTGAAGGGCTACGCACAACGGCCCGACATCGACTACGATAAGATATTTGCACCGGTTGCCAGACTGCACTCGATGCACCACTTTTATCGCCCTTGCGGTGCACGAGGGGTGGAAGGTACACCACATGGACGTCAAACCAGTTTTCTTGAACGGCAAATTGTAAGAGGAAGTCTATGTCAAGCAGTCGGCTAGTTTTGTCATCACCGAAAAGGAGCACAAGTTGCTTAAGCTTTGGAAGGAGTTGTACGGTTTGCATCAAGTGCCACGGGCCATAAATGCAAAGTTTGACGCTACGTTGATGTCTCTCGGCTTCAAGAGGAGCGCGCCATCTACATCAAGCGGAAAGACGACACATAACTAGTTGTCGAGGTCTACATGATGATCTCATGGGCATTGGCTTGAGCTGCAGCGACATTAAGTCGTTCAAGAAGGAGATGGCAGCCACATTTAAGATGAGTAACCTCGGCCTACTTCATTACTACCACGGCATTGAAGTTAAGCAAAGCGCGAGGGGAATCTCGATCAGCCAAGGCGCCTATGCTGGCAAGATTCTAGAGAAGAGCGACATGGCTGGGTGCAATCCCTGCCAAGTGCTTATGGCGACACGACTGAAGTTGACCAAATTCAGCTCGGAGCCCACAGTCGACCAGATGACATACAGTAGCATCGTCGAGAGCTTGAGGTAATTGGTTAATACTCGCCCTGATCTGGCTTTTGCTGTTGGCTATGTTATTCTGTTCCTAGAGGGCCCACGTGAAGATCACCTTGATGCCGTGAAGCACATTTTACGCTATGTGGCAGGAAGCCAGAATTGGGGACTCTGGTATGGCAGGAAGGTGGAGAAGGAAGCTTACATGACGGGTTTTAGTGACAGCGATAATGCTAGGGGTGTTGATTCTAGTAAGAACACAACAGGGGTGATTTTATTCCTCAACAGCAGCCCGATCACCTGGCAATCCATGAAACAAAAGGTGGTGGCACAGTCAAGCTGTGGGGCAGAATACATAGTAACTGCAAACACTGCTAGTTAAGCATTGTGGCTCGCTCGGGTATTGGCTGAGGTGCAGGACCAACTCCAAGAGCACTAATGTTGAGGGTAGACAATAAGTCTGCCATTGCCTTAATCAAGAACCCAGTACTCCATGGACAGAGCAAACAAATTCGAGTGAAATATTATTCTGCTCAGGAGTCTGCAGAGGGAGGCTTGATTATCGTCGAGTTCATTAGATGCGACGAACAACTGGGCGACATACTGACGAAGCCGCTTGGAAGGACCATGTTCCATGAACTACGCTCTGAAATCGGTCTTATCAATGTTAGCAATGTGCACAAGGCTTAGGAGGAGATTTTAGGAAATATTATTTATTATAGGATATAATCCTTGTGCAGCTAAATTTATTTATTTGCTTTTCTTAGTTTTTCCTAGATTAGTTGTGAATATTGAATTGATTATTGTTTCCATGTAATCTTGATTTGTATGTATTATTTAGCTCCTTGTATTCCTCTATATAAGCAATAGAATAACACAAGAAAATGTGTCAATTCAAAAGCACCAAGCAAGAGCGTGATCTTTTGTGTTTGCGTGAGTTTTCTTTTATGTCGTGTGTTTTGACCGTGATCTCGCCAGCAACGGGTGTTGTTTCTTCGGTGAGTTTCTAACAAAAAAGGAATTTCGATGTAGTAAAATTGGAATCCAATGAGTTTTAAATTCATTATTGGGATTTCAAATTAGTCAATTCGAATGGAGCCATAATTTTTCAATTTAATTAAATAAATTTAATTAATTTATTCCCGTTTGAGTAATATATTTATCGNTAAATTAACTAATTTATAACAATCTTTTTATCACATCACGCTGCATTTTATGGGTTTAAAAAAAGAAGGGGCTGAAACTTTTTCATGTAAATAATAGAAAATAAGAAACAAACAAGGGGGTCACTGTCTTCAAAGGTAACCAACATTAAGTAGCATTAGGTGCCAACCTGATAAACACAATCACCATTACCATCATCATAACTCATCATTACCTCTTCCTTTGTAACATGGCAGCATGCCGTATTGTAATCCAACGGTCAAAAAAAAGTTGCCACTTTTTATGCCTTCACTCATCAGCGTAAGCTTTTAACTGAAATTACTTTCTTCTTACTTCATCTTTTATCATTCTTTCTATTGCAAATCCTTCAGTTTTTGAGTGTGCGTTCTCTTCTCCATGGAGCAGCAGCAGCACAAGTTCAGCTGGTCGTATGCCTTGTTATTGCTTTTAGCATTTATCAAGAGTACTTTCTGCTTCCAAGATGGTACGCCAGTCTTTCTATGTAGTTACCATTCTCGATCCACCTGCCATTTTGTAAAATGTTGAGCGTACCTTGAGAAGTTTCATGAGCACCAGCGTTTTTGGTTATGTAGTACAGTATGAGTAGTGCTAAATTGCATTTCTAGTGGTTTAATGTCATAACATTTTTAGTACCAAAATTCTAACATTTAGCATTTGGTCATGTGATTTAATATTTTGCTGCAATTTCAATCCTCTAGGACTGAAATTGCAACAAATTTCCAAATTTAGAGATTTTTTACTAGCAATTCAAGTCCTGTAATTGAAAATTTTGTTGCAATTTCAGTCTTGTTGTTATTAAATTATAAGATCAAAAGGCAAAAAGTCAGAAATCGACTAAAAATGTATTTTTGCCTATCAGTAGTCATGTAACTCAAAGTGATGCGTACCATGAACTCATCTTAAATTCTTAAAAATTACTACAAATTGCAAATTGTGATATGGGTTTACCAACAACCATAAACATTCTTAGGCCTGTGTACTTTTTTTTTTCAAATTATTTTTTTCAACAAAAAAGAAACAGGTTTCTTGAGCTTAACATGTGGAAACACGAACTACGTGGACTCTTCCAACATTTCATGGATGCCAGACGGTTTTTACACGAGCAGTGGCAGCACAGCGAGTGTGACTTTTCTTGAAGGCTCTTCCTCAACAACTCTCCCCATTCGTTATTTTCCGGATTCTTCACGTAGAAACTGTTATCGGCTGCCAACTTCAAACCAGTCCACATCATCTCCAATTCTTGTCCGCGCAAATTTCGTGTACAAAAACTATGATGGCCTTAACAAGCCACCTGTGTTTTGGGTCTCTCTAGGGACTGCCACAGTCACCACAATCAATCTTGCTCATGTTGACCCGTGGATTGAGGAATTTATATGGCCGTCTAACGATAAGGATTTTTTGCCATTGTGTTTCCATTCGATTTCTAATGGTGGATTTCCGGTTGTCTCGTCAGTTGAAGTTCGTCCTCTTCCGGGAGAAGCTTATGGTGTGGATTACAGTGATAGGAGGATTCTCAAGAAGTTGTTTCGTTTAAATTGTGGGTACACTGATGGGCTACTAAGGTAAGGTGTTACTTTGAGGAATTTGTTTTTTTTTGGTTAGGAAGCTTTGAAATTATTTAATATTGTATATTCAAAAAATTTAAAATTCTATATAGTTGTTACAAAATAAATAATCAATAATAGTAACGTTTTACTTGCGTAATTGTCATTTGAATGAATGCTGGTCGTAAAATTTTTTATTAATTGCTGATTGAATAAACTTTATTAAAGCTCGCCAACAATTAATTATGTATATAAAGGTTGGCATTTAGAAACTCTCAAAATGTTCTTATTTTTAGCTAAGCCGTAGAAATTCTTCAAACAAAAATGTGTGTATTTTTCAACTAATTAATTAATTTCCGTGTGTTCGTTTNAGAGACAAAAGAAGAAGAAAAAGAAAAAAAAAAAAAACATATGTCTTTTGAGAATCAGTATTAATTAATAAGTTGCATTTAGAAACTGTTAGAATGAACTTATTTTCTCTTTCAGCTAAGCCGTCAAACCAGGATTCATAGTTTTCCGATAAAATGTAGAAAATGCTTCAAACAGAATGTGTATGTAGAAAAATGTTGTGTCTACTTTTCGTAGTTTTCGAAAAAACAGACGATTACACGAATGCTAAAACCGTTTTCGATTTTCGATTTTCTTAGTCAAACTATAAGAACCCGTTTTCGCATTTTTTTTACATTTTAGAGATGGAAACAGAAAACATATGTGTCGAGAAATCAGTATTAATTAAGAATTGGCATTTAAAAACTCTCAAAATGAACCAGGTTTCATGGTTTTCCGATAACACGTACAAATGCTTCAAACAGAACGTGTATTTTTCTGCCTCAAACAGAATGTGTATTCTTCTACCAATTATTTTTCGTCTGTTCATTTTTTAATTTGTTTGCACTTGAAGGTATCCTTTGGACCCGTATGACAGAATATGGGAAGCCGACAAGGATTTCTCTCCTTACCACGTTTCTTCAAGTTTCGACACTCAAACAAACTTCACCTCATCAAACATCAAAGAGAGCCCTCCAAACGCCGTTCTTCAGACAGCCCGAGTTTTGGCGAGAAGGAACAACCTCGTATACTACATGCCTCTAAACAATAACAATAATCTACAAAATTACCATCTTACCCTCTACTTTGCTGGCATTTTACCCGTGGCCCCCACATTCGACGTGCTAATCAATGGAGAACTCGTCCAATCAAATTTCACGGTCATGAGATGGGCAGCCAATAGTCTATCTTTCACCTTAAAAGGAATAAGGACACTAAATATCACTTTGAGGACAGTTAACTACTATCCTTTGGTGAATGCTATTGAGGTCTATGAGATCATTGATATTCCACTAGAAACTTCTTCCACTACAGGTTCTTGATGATATCACATTCTTTATTATTATATTTTTTTTCATTATTATTTTGGTTCTTAATGTGTTTGTTTATATATTTTTGCAGTTTCGGCATTAGAGGTTATACAGAAGTCGATTGGCATTGACTTTGAATGGCAAGATGATCCTTGTTTGCCTACACCATGGAAACACATTGAATGCCAAGGGAATTTAGTCACTTCACTGTATGTTAATTTTTCTAATTACTAAAAAATTCCACTAGGTTCTGTATTAGACTAAATTTTTGGGGGCAGTTTTGTAATTACATAGTTTATTTTGTTTTCTTCATCAATTCTGTTAAAATCTGGTGGTATATATGCAGGGAACTTTCTGACATTGAGCTGAGGACAATCAGTCCTACATTCGGCGATTTACTTGATCTTAAAGCCCTGTGAGAATTTTAGACTTAAATAATATCATCCAAGTTTGATCTTCTTGATTGATTACATATTATTGACGATTTTCTCATGAATCAACAACAATTTATCTTTTCATGCAGAGACTTGCACAATGCTTCTCTATCTGGAGAAATACAGAACTTGGGTGGCTTGCAACATCTTCAGAAACTGTATTATTTAGTCCTAAAGAAATGTTTGGTCATAAATTATTCCAGCTGAAGAAAACTAGGCAGTAGTTTTTTATCATTTCGAAATAAAATTTGCAAGCACTTGATTAGTCACTCTAGAACTATGTTCTTCTTATAATACAACAATGTACTAAATATTGCAGGAACTTGAGCTATAACAACATAACATCTTTTGGTTCTGAGTTGGAAGACTTGATCAACATTCGAGTACTGTAAGTTTTCACTGAATTAAGTTTACAAGCAGCCATTTTTTAACGTCGGGATTGATATTATCTCAATGGGGCAATTTGTTTTCAGTTATTATTATTTAGGAGATGATATTAGATCAAATGAATAAAAAAAAATAAAAAAAATGTTGGTCCTTTGTGCGCAGGGATCTGCAAAACAATAGTTTGCAAGGAACAGTTCCAGAAAGCTTGGGGGAGCTAAAGGACCTTCAACTATTGTAAGTATCTATAATCTTCATGATAAACTAAACTTTCCATGCTAACAATATATAGGACCTCTTTGGATAGCATTTTCTCATTTTGAGTAATATAGAAATTGAATTAAACTGTCGTTACACATTTTTTTATTATTATTATTTTTTTTTTATCTTTTCGGGTGCAAACTTAAGGAACCTGGAGAACAATAAGCTACACGGGCCACTGCCACAGTCACTCAACCGAGAAAATATTGATCTCAGGTGATGAAATTTAGTTACTATCCTTTCCATATTTAGTTGAAAAAGGAAAAACAAGGGGGGTCTTTATAACTAAAAAACACATACATTTTCGAAGTTCCAACGTACATTCCTTTTTTTGCTAATTCCACCCTCAGAATGGGTACTTGTTTGGAAAAGACAAATTTCGATAGAATTTTCGCATTTCTTTGTGGGTGTATTTGTAATTTTATGAGGGAACCGAAATTTTTCAAAACTTAACCACCATTCTTTCTGTATCCTGTGTCTGCTTTTCCAAACAAAACTCTAAACATCATTTATTTTTTATTTTTTGAATAAATTTGGCAGGACAACAGGGAATCTGTGCCTCTCATTCTCATTATCGACATGCAGTGAACTTTCAAGAAACCCTTCACTTGAAACTCCACAAGTCACCGTCTTTACCCCAAGAAAGCGAAAAAACCATAGCCACTTAGGAATCCTACTTGCTTCAGTTGGAACAGCTGCTGTTGTTCTTGTGTTAATTTCATTTTCTGCTCTGTTCTACATTAAGAGGAAAAAAACTGAAAACTCATGCGCACCAAGTACGAAACCCAACAACTTACAAATTAATCAAATGTATTAGTTTATTAAGTGGATTTCTTTTTATTCTTGTAGAATCAGGAATGGATATGCGTAAATGGGGTTCGGCAAGAATATTTACGTACAAAGAGATCAAAACAGTTACAAACAACTTCAAAGAAGCCATTGGTCGTGGTAGTTTTGGATGTGTGTATGTTGGCAAGCTTTCGGGAAAATTGGTAGCCGTTAAAGTTCGGTTTGATAAAACTCAACTCGGAGCTGATTCATTCATCAATGAGGTCAGTAACTTAAATCTGTTTTAGTTAAGAAATTAAATATAAAAGGAGCTATTAGGAAAAATTGATGTATAAATAATTGTTCTTTTGAAAGTTTATTTAATTTCACCTGTCCTTATATCGAATATGATGAGTGCCAACAGTAACAGCATTTGAATTCTTAAGGTGACTTATTTTTTCTATATATTCTAAATCATTAATTTTCAATCTTGGTTATTTTTGCCAGGTTTCTCTTTTGTCACAGATTCGGCACCAGAATCTGGTATCATTGGAAGGTTTCTGCTATGAAGCAAAGCAGCAAATACTTGTTTATGAATATTTACCTGGAGGCTCATTGGCTGATAACCTTTATGGTGTGTTCTTGACTGAAATTGCAAACAGAATCAGTTATCTTCCAAAAATACAAATACAACTTTCTGATGTTTGTTTACGTTTTCGACACAATGAATCCTCGAGAGTGTTTCCTGAACAAACACAAATGTGTGTCTAACACGACATTTTGGAAGACAACTATTTTCTTATTAATGGTGTTAGTTTAATTATATTTATCCCTTATTATTATGTTCAATTAACTCATTTTGATTCACTAACACACTCTAAATTTTCTTAGGTGCCAACAGTAGAAAGCTGACGCTTAGCTGGGTTCGTAGATTGAAAATTGCTATTGATGCCGCAAAAGGTGAATGTTTATCTCATACTTGAACTCTTGAACTGCTAATTTAATTATCTGTAAGAAAACACATTAGACTAAAGCAAAATTAAACAAGTGAATGTTATCTCTCTTAAAAATGATAATACGGTTCATAATTGGCATAGGTCTGGAGTATCTACACAATGGAAATGATCTACGGATAATTCATCGAGACGTGAAGAGCAGCAATATTCTCTTAGACAAGGAAATGAATGCTAAACTCTGTGATTTTGGACTTTCTAAGCAAGTGACTCAATCAGATGTATCTCATGTCACCACAACAGTCAAAGGCACAGCTGGCTATCTTGATCCAGAGTAAGCTGTTTT